TAAAGCATGATTCATATTTTGTAATTTTACCAACACAATAACTATAAGTACTGGTAAAAACATTGCAGATTTTTGAATGCGAATAGATCGGGTGGTTTATTAGTTTGTGTCAGTCCTTGAATTGAGATAACCGGGGTTACCCCAAGCAACGCAGCTAGTTATAATTATTCTAAGAAAATACGAATAGATCCATCATATTTTTCACCATACTAAAGGTATTTGAATATTTACTTTTGTTCTGACGTGCAAGCTAAACACATAATTTCATGTTCCAGTTGTACATTTTATTACCTTCCATCTTTCCTACAATTACAAATTAAAATGTTCAATTTCACATTTTTCAAGTTATAAAAACTATAATGGTAGTCCCATCATTGCAATGTTTGTAAAATACGCAGCTTAAAATAAAACGACCTTGTACCCCTAAAAGATGTGTGCAAATGTGTATTTGACCTCGATAACTTACGAATATTGAAGAATTGGATCAGAAAGACAATCCTGAGTCATCACATTTTGCCAATGCCACGATTCAGTGGCCATGTCACACAAACAGCTCTTGTGAAGCGCGCTGTGGCCCCTGACGACGGCCACATGACGACGGACGATTTTGGGGCCATTCATTCTCTCGAGGATACTCTGAAGCTGTTTGAAAGAATGTGTGGAAGTAGGCGGAGTATTTCCTGAACGTTGTTCCGGGGACTCAACGTGCTTTGCCAAACATCCCCGAGGACGTTGCCAAGTCATTTCTCGCGGTTAAATTTGTTTTCACAAAATTTCTAGTCATTTAGATGTTATTTTTAGAAGCAACCAAACTTCGTCGTGCTTCTTTCAAGAACATAGAAGTTTTGAAATGAAGAATGAGAAAGGACTTATCAGCCTGCGAAAGAATTTATATGCCTTTTTAACTTGCGAGAATTAAATTCAAATTTGAAAAATATTGCCCTCGGGGTCCGAATGGACCCTCTCTCCCGCAGAATGCTGGGTTGGTCCATTACATCCCAGTCGTAAATGTATAGTTTTACCCTCCTCTTAAATGCTTCGTATAAATGTATATTCAACAACTTGTGGAAGAGCAGGCACTAAAACCTGTAGCTCGCCACTAATAAAGTCTTCATTATTATTATTATTATTATTATTATTATTATTATTATTATTATTATTATTATTGTTGTTGTTGTTGTTGTTGGCCTCCAACAGCAAAAATTAAGAAAAACATATGGATGACAATATAGAAAACACGCACACTGCTAAACAAGCAGCGTATAAAATTCTGTTGTTTATCTCTACAGTGAATTAAATATTTTAACAAAAACAGCCCTCAATATTGCAATAACATAGTATACTAGTAGTATGTATACAGTACAACAGTTCTTTGCATACCAAGGATATCGAAAAGTTGTTTTTTATAACACAAAACGTGAATAGCAAATATTTAATATCGGAACAGAAATAGTGCAAAAACTAACGTTCCTAACTCTATTATAATTGATTGTAACTTGTATGTGTAGACCTGCTTACCACAATAAAACAAAGGAAAAAGAAGTAAAGAAAACATCTCTCAGATTTGTTATGATTTTAATATTGTAAATGTGAGGATATATTTACTATGGGAAATGATTATCGCATCCCGACTCTGAAATCGTCGCTGAACAGAGGGAAAGAATAAGACTTTTATAATTTTAGCTTTGAAAGCTAAAAAATACTCACTAACGGTTTTTAACGACCTCCAGGTTTAGATATATTTTCACTTCTCAGTGACACCCCTAGCTTTTACCTGGACGCAGTGTATGTCCTGAGACCATTAGGAGCACCACATCGTCCCATTCTTGAATTTGTGTTCGAGAGCGTGTATTAAATGTTTTTTGTTCAATGAAGGTGGTGGGAAAGAACAATGTTAACAATGTACGTCTCGTATCTTATGAAACAGATGTCAAAAAGATTTTTGGAATAAAATCTGTCGCGCGATGTCATGGTTATTCTGAACTTATTCAAAATGTTTATTACTTTACTCGCTAAGCAAATAATATTTCGCGCGGAATGTTTATTTAGCCCTATTGGAAATAAGATAAATCCATTGGGGTACGTCAGTGGTACATAGAACAACCTGCAACACGTCTCAATAAATACTGGCAAATCCTGAGTCTGTTTGAAAAGTTTCTCTGATGCCATTGGAAAGGACGTTCGGCCAGACTACATGTAAACTGAGAGTGAGAATTTGCTTGTTTTAGATGCGGTGCGGCGCAGTCGTTGCACCGGCAATTTCCTTTGCTGCGTTTCTCATGTCCGGGAGTTGTGATTGGAGCACGTGCTGAGCGCTTCGGAGGAGCACGTGGGCGGCCCGGGGCATCCATCCGGAAGCGCCCAGGGCTTCTTCGCCCCGCCCAGCCCCCTCCGCCCC